TGGGGTGTCAGACACGTGTTTGGTATTCCACATTCGCCCACAGGTCAGGCGATCATTGAGAGAACACATCACACCCTGAAATCCCTTCTGGACAGACAGAGAAGGGGTGAGCCGGAGGCAACACCTCACATGAAATTAAATAAGGCACTGTATGTGTTGAATTACTTAAATAGCTCATCCTCAGAACCCAATCCACCAATCGTGAGGCATTTTCTAAACAACACACAGGCAAAGCTAAGAGAAAATCCTTTAGTTTTGATCAGAAACCCAGAAACTGGACAAATAGAGGGTCCTTTCAAACTAATCACTTGGGGCAAGGGTTTCGCTTGTATCTCCACACATCGAGGTCTGAAGTGGGTGTCGGCGCGGCACGTGAAGCCATTCCGAACGCGAGAACACGAGAACGCTGATCCAAGAAACAAAGAGACGAGTACTCAGACAGGAGTCGAGACTCAGACTGGAAAGAACGATTCAGAAGAGAAATAAAAAGAAACTAAGGACTTTGGGGATTTTCACTTAAAAGCGAAGTAATGAGTTTCATGATGCTTATGTGCATCATTCTTTCATTCATTGCAGTAAGCAATGGAGGAAATTTGCCTGTTAGTCAACCAAGGCAAAATGTATGGGAGATTTTAGCTCAGGCAGCGAATTTAGATAGTATTTGCCTGACATATTTGAGGCCAGGGAAACCATTTTCAGCATGCATGGTTGGATTGCCAGTGGACGAATGGCCAGTTCCAGGGCACTCCGCAGTTAATATTTCACAGGTCATTAAAGATCCTGTGAAAGAGTGGTGTGCTTGGACACGTCTACTTCCTGTGGCTTCTACAGAACCTCAGGAATTGGAGATTTTTGGGTCCATGACAATGGAACTCTGCATGCAGTTTGAAACTCCAGGTGTCACAAAGGCAAAAACTATCGATTTGACTCCCATTCATGAATTCTATAAGAATGCATCAGCTTGGTGTAAATATACAGAGAAAACTACCAAAGGATCGATCCAAGTCCCAGTGCAATTGCCACGGGGTTTGTTCTTAATTTGCGGGGACAGAATTTGGCACGGCATTCCTGCTAATGCCACGGGAGGTCCATGCAGCATTGGGGAAATTTCAATGCTATTGCCTGATTTGAGCATGTTAAGAGAGAAAAAGCACAAAGAAAAAAGATCAATAGAACAATATGCGGCAGATTGCAATGATGAAATATTTTCTTGGGACAAGAAAGCGAGAATTGCTACAGCAATCTTCTCACCTCAAGCAGCATCAGGGGTGGCCTTGACTCAAATCGACCGCATGGGTTGTTGGTTGAGCAAACATGCGCGGTCTGTGTCTGTCGCATTGGATGACATGTTAAAAGACATCAGTGGCGTAAGACAGGCGACTCTTCAAAACAGAGCGGCGATCGATTATCTATTGCTCACTCATGGACATGGGTGTGAAGAGTTTGAAGGGATGCGCTGCATGAATCTCTCAGATCATTCAAAGTCAATTCATGAAAGTATTAAAAATATAAAGGACAGCATAAATAAGCTTGGCGAGATCACAGGATCATGGATCGATCAGCTGGTAGAATTCTTTGACATCTCTCCCATTTGGAGAGGAATTTTAAAGATAGGATTCTATGTTTTAATAGTTCTCCTAGTCCTCATACTTGTCGTCCCATGCATATTTGCATGTTTAAAACGTGCGATGAATCGGATAGCAAAAGAGGTCTTCTTGGTGCAAACAGAAGGGGGAGATGTGGGATCTCAGCCCCTCAGGACTGAGGTGCAGAGTGGCTGAGACCGCCCTTGGGGGGCTCGGGAGTCCTGGAATGTTGCCAGAAGTGTCTGGTGGCTGGACTTTGATCCTACACAGGAGACGACATCTGTATGAGGATGGGAGGATTTCACTGGGGTGAATGGTGAAGGGATAAGTTAGTTAGAGTGAAACACAGGGTTTAAGATTTCTGTACAGGGGGGTCTAAAGAAGTAAGATGAAGGAATTGGGGCGTGTCCTGTTCTTCTTCTTCTTCTTCTTCTTGGCCTCCATCTTCTGTGGTGATGTTGGCACTTTGGGATTGGTTATTACTAAAAGTGCACTGGTTAATAAGGATAGAAGGTATTGGGGAAAAATGATAAATATTGTATACGTAACTTCGAGTATAAAGATAGGTGACCGCCCCAGGGGCTCGCAGTGTGCTCATGGCTGACTGCTGAGCAGACCTCTGTCGGGCCAAGAGAAAATCTTTTAGATAAACAATTAATAAACACCGAGACCGAGAAAAGATCTGAAGTCCCTTCTCGTCCTTTGAAGCGCGGGCTGTCCAAGGCCACCCCGGGCCTTTCCAGGCCATCTAAACAGCCGAGAATCCGACACTCTGGGACCTTTGTCCCCTCCATTTCTTCTATACCCCCTGGGGCCGAGGGGTCTCAAAACCAAACTCTCTTGACTCCGAGCCTCCGCTTCCCCCTGCAATGCAGCCTCTGTATCACCAGGAAACAGTCCATGGATCTACAACAAAAGAGTCCAGCAAGATTGCCACTCCATCTTCCTCCATTCCTTCAACATCTCTCTTTCCCTTTGCCAGACCCTCCTTACTGGCCCGTTTCTTCCTTCATCTTCCACTCTTATCCCTTTCCCAGGAAAGGTAATGTTCCGTGAAGTTCTCACTATCCACAAGGGTTAAAAGCTCTCCCAGGCGGCCGGGCTGCTCGCTGCCCCCCCTCTTCTCCTCTCAGCCGTGCTGCCAGCACATGATATCAAGTTTCAAGGTAACAGTTGGTAACAGTTCACGCACAGGCTGCATTCTCTCCGTCTCAAAAAAAGGGGGGGGGGGGGAATAAACAGGTCGCTCGATGCTCCCCCACCCTTCCGCCGAATCCGGGCCTACCGTAGATGGGCCACGTGGCTTTCCCCTCCCCCAGCCCAGCCAGCAACTGGGCCGGGGGAGAGGCCACACTCCTTCGCGCCGGAAATCCCAAGAGAACTCTGAAGGACAAGAGCCCTGCTTTTAACTCCTTGGGTTTGTAGTCTCAAGAGGCGGATCCAAATGCCCCACTGGTCAAACCAGGTGCTCATCTTAAAATCCGACCACCCATTGGTAACCACAGCAAAAACAACATATCCCAGATGTCCCATTTCCGGTCAAACCACAACATTGATTTATCTCCCTGCCCCCCTGCCTCTGTCTGCTGCCCGACAGTATCTAGCAGTGTGCGATAAGCATATGCCAGGGCCCAGCTCACTGCAATGACCTTCCTCTCCTTAGGCTCATCCTGGTACTTCTCTTTCAGATATTTCCCCACCTCAGCTGGGTTCTGAATTTGTTCATGGGGAAAATCCCAGACTATAGGGTCAGAGAATTCCTTCAGGATTTGGCCCATATCCTCCCATTTCCCACACCACTTAGGATTTTCCACACCTGGGCCAACTCCTGAGTCAGGGGTCTCATCAGCCCATCTAGAAATCTCAGCCCTCATTCTAGAGAAGCAGCAGGCTGTATAGAGGAAGGTTACCAGACTGAATACCAGGAAGATGGTTTCTTTAACATTGAGGGGAAACTGAACATCCTTTGCTAGTGATGCAACTGATTCATAGGAGAAGGAGGAAAGCAGAGGCTGAAAAACCTCATTCCCTCCTGCTCCTCCTGCAACAAACTGGATGCATAACCATAGCCATGAACCATTCATACCTGGAGCAGACCCTAGCATGTTTATAAACTTCTTGCACATTATTGCCACCAAGCCCAGCAGGATAGCTACTCTGGTCACTGCCTCTCTGATGTAAAAACTACATATTAGGGGCAATACTAAAGCTATTTCTGGATAAGAAAATAAACCTAGGGACCAGAGAGGTATTAAAATCTCAAAAAACCCTAGGGACCAGAAATGCATGCAAACCTTCACCCCAATAGACATTATGAATTCAAAAAGCATGGCTATTAGCTGATTTAAATGAACACAGACTAATAGCAACCAAAATGCAGTCAAAACAGGGTTTTTCCACTCTCTCTCTAGCCCCACTTTCTCTCTAACCCTACGGGGCTGCTTGGGAGTGAGAGCTCTTGCCTGTTGTGCAGTGCTGTTTTCCAGGCTTCCTGCTGGTCCCCTCTCTTGCTTCTGACACTCAGGACTTTGGAGCAGAGGTTCTCTGTCTTTATACAGCTCCTAGTACATTGCAGATCTACCTTTTGACTGGAAGCTCTAGGTGCTATGGTCAAATAAATAATATATCTCATTAACTTGCTGAAAAAGTTAACTACCAGGTGATTAAATATTAACAGTAAATAAGATGTTTACCTCTTTTTCACAGCCAAATGTACCCCAGGGAGATGACTAACAGTTCAAATTTAGGTGAAAATATTTTACAGTAGGTGAATTCTGGTTTTGAATTTTCTAAATCTTGTTTGTCTTTGTTTTTTATTTAATTCCTGCATTTTTGTTGCAGCACTAAGGACATGTGCTTAGCTGCTTTCCACTGTTGTGACTGCACTTATAAGCTACGTTTTTTACCTACTAATAAGTAGGTTTTTCTCCTGTACCTCAGAATCCTCCGCTGACATAAAACTATCCCATGGATTGCCCTAGCTGATGCTCTTGACATATTGTTTTGAGGGAGAATGATGAGCTTTCTGTGAGCTTGGTAATACTTTGTGACTCTTTCTGTCATTCAAAATGCTTGTTAAGGCTCTCTTACCAGAATGTTCATTTTTAGAAAAAGACCTTAGGTGTAAGTTTTCAAACTGAGTAAGTTAGTCACTATCATCTAGTCTCGTCTCCTGAGGTTGCCCATAAATACAAACACCCTTTACAACAGAATCATTACCAAAAAATGTAGACTTTAATCTTATTTAGCTTCTCTTTTTTCCTAAGAGGCGCACTGCAGAGTTGCATTTTGGTGCTCACAGGAAGAAGAGGGACCTGCTGCATGCAGTTCCTGCCTGTCAGGCACCAGCCCACGGGTGAGTAGCTGCCTGCAGGTGCGGAGTGGTAACTGTGTGCCCCTGTGTCTCTTTTGAAGCTGAGAAACATGCTGGGGTGTCCTGCGTGACAGCATCCATGGATGACATTCAGTTTGAAGAGGCTGCCAGGTACAAACCAACTGACAACAGTCAGATGTTTCCGTTCTGCAGACTCTTATTTGGCAGAGATAAACTGAGGCATTATAAAATGGGAGAGAGCAGACCTGTGAACTCACCACAGCCACAGGGCTGAGTCTCAAAACTGCTCTTTTCTACCTGTGATAGCCTGACCCATCCAGAGAGCAGATCCATCTCACAGGGCAGAAATAAACTCTTGTTAACTTAACTTGGCAGTTGAGATGCCTGGTGAGAAAATGATGGCCCAGTGGTCTCTGGCTCTGGGGAATGGCTGCAGGCCACTGCTTATCTCTGTTGAATAAGCAATATTACCTATAAAACTTACTGTTATCAGTGTTTTTATTGCTGCAAGGTCTCTTTCGGTTCATTTCTTAACATCTTTGTCTTTCAGCTATTTTATAAAAAAGATAAATGTTTTACATTCACTGAGCACTGAATTAACTGAGTCTACAAGATAACACAGGACTGAACTTGTTTTACCATTTCTCATGGTTTTCAGTGGGATAAAAGACACTGTAAGAGGAAATGGGGCCTTTATTCCTAAACCACACCTTTACAGAAACCTAAAGGTTTCTTTGTGGGTTTTGTGTGGTTTCACACAGAGCAATCTGGGAATTAGGGAGTGGTTAGATGGGATAGACCTGGTTGCATAGAGCAGTGCACATGCAGTTTTTGTGGCTGTGAACACAGCAACACTGGCTGCCAGAGGTACAGCTGATGGCAGTTAAAAACTGTTCATAAGTGTAAAATAAGCATCCACTCAGACTTGAGACTGTTAGGGCAGTGCCCATTAGAGCAAGAACTAACGCCAGTGACAAAAGACAACACAATCATACCAATTCTGGAACTCAAGAGAGAATTTCTTGGTCTGTTTCACAATATTGAAATGTTCGTACTGCCTGGAATTGCTCTGTGTTTTTAATTTTGTCTTTAGGAAAAAATCCTGTTTGTGAAAACTGATCAAAGTTAGGGTAATGTTTCCCTTTCAGGTGTAATAGTTCAGGGTTGGTAGCTTCAGAGCCCTTTTCTGTCTTGTTTCATGAGATCAGAACAGAGCTGCTGGAATGTGATGAAAATACGTTTCCTTCCAAATTTGTTTCTGAATATTTCTCTTTTTTTTTCTCCCTTGTAATACCGATGTTCCATTTGTAACAAGAATTTCAGGTACCGATCTTGTAACTGTGAAAGAAATTATTTAAGAAATTATTTTTCTCTGCCAGGTCATCCCTAACATCCTTCTTGTAGCTTACTGTGCAATTTCCTAAATTTTGCCAGATCTAGTTCATTATACAAACATTTTGCATAAATAAAAGAGTTCTTGCTTCTCTCTCTGGTAAATTAATAAGATAGTTTTTTAAAAGAGTGGCTTACTGTAAGGTTTATTTACCTAAACCAGGTGGCTAAATCTTATGCAGGGATTAAGTCTTCTGTGTTTATTATGTAAAGAGAAATTGCCACACATCTATATAGTTCAAAACTTAGCCTTATACCATGATAACCTCTTCCTTTTCTTGCAATACACAGCAGTTCAGTTGACACATCTGATTTTAAATTCCATTTATTTAAATTTTGTTAGTTTTCTGTCTGTGAATGATAGTCACTTCATTCTGGTAAATTTCTGACAGTTTTAAGTGGAAGTGTGGTGCTGTGTGACTTCTGCCCCTGCAAATCTGTAGCTCTGACCACTCTCCTTTCTGGGAGGGAGCTGGTGGCTCCCTCAGCTGTGCAGTTGGGAACAATTGCCTTAACAGTTCTGCTTTTTCTTTGCAATAAATAATGCAAAAACTTCTGAGATGATTTTGAGCATCTCCTGCAGAAGCTAATGAGGGCTGTGCACCTGCAGATGGTCTTGGTTCTTTGCACTGACCATTTCCCCTGCCCTATCCACCCAAAGGATTCCACCTGTGTTCTTGGGTGAGTACAAGAAAGAAATTTGCTGTGTAAAAAATTGCTGCGTAGTTTGTTGTTCCTGTCAGGTCCTCTGCAGGAGCAGGTTTCCTATTTCCCATTCTACTTCTGCAGTGGAACAAGCAATTTAAGTAAGCCTTTACCTTTAAATGTCCCAACTTCATTCATTTAAATTAGTAAGCAGCTATTTTTATTGTTGTTGTTATTATTATTATTTTTAAATAAACTGGGGTAGCAAATGTGCAAAATCCTTTGCTGTGAATGTTTTGTCAGTACCCAAGTGCTCTGAGTTACATTTTACTTCAGTCTTGGCTGTAATTAGCTCCACTTTTCCTGCCCCAGGGCTGCTCTTCAGCATTTGTAGCTCAGTTTGAATTTCCTGGAGGCAGTGGCCTGACACCCTTCTGTTTTGGCCGTGGCTCTGGCTTACCCTGCACACTGTGTCCTTTTACTTCCTGCTCACTGGGAAAACTTGAGGGCAAACTGCCTTCCTGCCACCCTCTCAGCACTGCTTAGGGCTGGGATTTGAGGGCTTCGGAAAAAAGGCTTGCTCCTGTTTTCAACATGGAGCAGGTGCTTTAGGAATTCCAGAAGGAAAGAAAATACCTCCTCATTTAAATTTTTTTTGATGACATAATAAGGAGAATTTAACAGGTAATATAAAATAAAGTAAATAATATAATAAAAATTTAAATATAGATAATATAATGAAATCACATTTGATAATTGTCTAATAATCCAGAATCTCTAGAATTTTTACCAGATAATAAAGTAAAAATTCTGTTTAGTTGTTTTATGTAGGTAAATGGGGAAGAGTGGTTTTCAGAGGGATGATGTTAGCACAGAAGGGACAAGCAGTCCTGTTCTTGGCCAAGACTTGGAACACAAACTCTCTCCCCATCCAAGAGCACTTTTTCCCTGGGGTTATCTCCTCGTGTGCACATACCTGTGTGCCAGAGGTGCTTGTGGAGTGTATCTGAGTGCTCCTGCAGCTGTATGTACTCCGTGATTTCTGCAGGATGTGCTTGTGAGCAAAGCCAGAATTCCTGGGTGTACCTGAGCACACCTGCTGCCATTCAGACACCAGCAGAGAGAAGGAATGTTGCCATTAAGGCTGTGCAGTGGCTCTAATTTTATTGACCAAGTCTGACTGGAGAATAACAGTGTTGAATTGAACACAGTGGAAAATTCACTTTTTTTCAGTGAATTCTCAGTGCAGTGTGGCAGATACAGACTGATTAATGAGATGTTCTTTACCACTTTTAGGAGTACACAGAGAGGCAGGTTCAAGCCCTTATAAAGCTGCATGCTTGCCTTCTATAAGGTCTTACTCTTCTTAACAGGGTTGGACAAATTATTGCCATCAGAACAAAGGTGAACAGAGCATTCAAAACCAGCATGGAGGTAAGAGATCAGCACACTTTTCTTCTGAAGGTGTCGAAGGAATAGAGCAGAGGTGGGAGCAGCAGAGGAGCACAGCGTGGCTCCAGGTTTATTTGCTCCAGATATTTGCAGATATCTGAACAATAACAACTGCCTAATGGCACTCCTTTCAGAGTGTTGCAGTTGTGTGTTTCCTGTGAAATAATCCATGTCAGAGTAGCAACTGGGCCCTGAAGAATTGAAGCCTTTGGCAGGTGTAGTGGGCAGGTTGGGAGAGGTGGTGTTGGTCCAGGCCAGATCCACAGAACAGGTGAAGTTCAAATCATTTTAGAAACTTTTGATACAAATGTACATATGTCAGGTGTACACATGATCCTAATCTTCATACTGCAGTCAGTGTGCAATGCCTTGCCTGATCACTTCAAATCAGAACTGAACTTTGGGGATGCTTTTTGTGCATTGTGCCTGTGTCCAAATCCCATTATTATTAATGGGAGTGATGCATCTCACAGGTAATGTATTCCAAAAGTTTCTAAAAATTAGAAAAAACCTAATTTTGATGTGTGTCAGGCCTATGCCACAGGATCAAATCCAGTGTTTCATATTCAAGTGTTTAATTTTGCTTTGCACCCCTAAACACACTTTTTTTGCATGTACAGATCTTAGGAACTCATTCAGATGGGGATTCCAAATGCCACAGAAGAAAATGGAAGAAAATATCCATAACACTACATCTAACTGTCTTTCCTGTTTTTATAATTCTACCCTACAAGTGATGCTAAGCAAACATAAAATTTGTGCTACTAAAAAACCTTTCAGAGCTGACTGAATATTGTGATGACCAGAGATGTATCAGTGATTAGAGCAGGTTTTTTACCTTTATGCTTTAGGTGTAAGGGACTGATAAAAACTGCACTGTATTGTCTCAAATCAACTGACTATGATGTAAATACCTTTTTTGTCTCCTTCCTCCATCACCTTCTTCCTTGTAGGTTGGCATCAAGGTGACAGTACAGGATGTTTTGACTAATGCTGAAAAGATTGTGAGTGTGGCATATGCAACATATGAGGCCAAACCAGTTGGTGGTGGAAAAATATTTTTCCTGTTTTCTCCTAAGCTTGGAGCGACTGAGTTTCTGTGAAATAACCCAACTTTTCTGGTTGTGAAACACAGCAGAAACAATGTTTATTCTGATCAGTGATAGGAAAAAAGCATGAAGTTCAGACTTTATAAGATAGAGTCTGGGGGTTTATTTCTAATTTACTTCTCTGAAATGCTTAGGTTGTTGCTATTACTACTACTACTACTACTATTATTATTATTATTATTATTATTATTATTATTATTTCCATTTCTATTTCCACGTCCTTTTGCACATTTGTTCATTATACAAGTGAGGTCTTTGTGAGGGCTACGGTATTGACAGAGGCAAGCAGTGAAAGGGAGATCCTTGTGAGTCTCTCTCCTTTTCAGAAGTTGATTGCAGGGTGGGCTTTTTTATCCTTTACTTCCCCTCTTGGGGAGGTTGTTCAGACATCACTGCTCAGACAGAAGACATCATTATTTTTAAGCTCACTTCCAATCTAAATTGGTTCTTTGCCATTTATGTTGATTGGTTTTCACGCCAGGGCTGTTTTTCTCCTCAGTGTTTGGAAATCAGTCATGGTACCATTTGCCTTCACATCACTGTGCCAGACAGGCACAGTCTTTTTAGAATTTTCTTGTAGGGAAGGCCAGACACTCCTCAGACTCTCTTAACAAACTCCCTTTGCATGTAAAATTCTGCTTTCTTGAATGTCACATCATGGATCTGACTTTCCTGTCTCACTGCATGTGTTATGACAGCACATCTGGCTGTTAAACATCCATTGGAGATTGGCAGAGTCATCCCATGAGCAATTAATACATCCAATCACTACAGCTCTCTCTTCTGTGAGGATGTGCCACAGTTTGGAGAAGAAACAGACTAGAGCAGTTTTACTAAAAATAAAGCCCAGCTCTTTTCTCTGAAGGGCTAATGGCTAAATTTCTACCCTGATAGCACAAAAATATTATCAAGAATTGTTTGTTACTAGTTTGATATCGTACTCAAACCATAAACCTGTTTACCTTTTGCCCAAATTTCTGGGGAGATTAATTCAGGATTAAATTGGAGATGATTAATTAAGATTAGGCTTAAGACAGGAATGTCCCAGAGGGAGTTTGAGAGTTCAGTTCAAATTCCATGACAAACTAAAATCTCAGAGAGATTGAAGAATATTTTTTTCAAATCCACTTTTCTGAACAACTGTTTCTAAGGTTGTACAGAGAGAATGTCAATATAACCACCATCTTAATTTTTTAACTTGGCCACATGGGAAAATCTAGGAAGCTCTTGAAAAGGGCTGGAAAGGAGGCAATGAATCTGGAAGAGGGTTAGAGGCAAGAGTCAAAGGCTGAGAAACATTAGTGGCTGCACTGCAAGACACAAAATGTTGAATTTGTCTGTGGTGCGCTGCTTTGTGCATTATTTTAATGCTTCTGAGGCTAGGCCTTCTAGACAAATCTCACAAGTGATTGTTCAGATTATTCACCTGTGATGTAATTATCCAAATGTAGTAATTTTCTTAAAATTACTACATTTGTTTTGGATGCAGTTTGTAATTGAACTGAAATACATAGGAATTTGCACTGACACCACTGACCGGTGCAACTGAATTTATTTTCTGGTTCAAAATTTCTATCCTCAAACCTTCATATTAAGTTCATATTTTCCTGTCCTTTTCATTTATTTTTTTTTTCTTAAACGAGAACTGTCTTAAACACTGTGTACTCTCATGGATGCTTGTATTTAAAAGCTAAAAGCACTTTGTCATTGAGTTTTAATGAATGATTCTGAAAGGATAATGCAGAATCTCTTGAACTTTATACCCCATGTTAGTTGTATTATTAAACTTGTCATCTTGGACAGCTGATAGGAAGAAGTTGTAGAAAATGCTGATGCCATTTTAAGTTCAAAGTGCGCTTTGTTACGATTGTGAAATTCGGAATTGCTGTATTTTTTTTCCCTCTCCATTTGCACAGGTTGAGTTAAAACCTGTACAGCTTCTGTCTGCAGAAGACCACCTGGAGCACATCCTGGCTATTGAGAGGAGAATAATCCATCTGGGCTATGTCCAGGTCTTTCAGAAGCTGATGCAGGAGAGCAATAAGGAAGGTGATTTTTCTACTCAGCACAGAAGGTAAAACAAACACTTATGGGCGGAAGGAAGGAAGGAAGGAAGGAAGGAAGGAAGGAAGGAAGGAAGGAAGGAAGGAAGGAAGGAAGGAAAAAAGCAGGCAAAACATCTCCTTGGGGTTGGGGTGTCAGGTAGAAGAGTCTGTGCCACATTAGTGGATAGAGGTGCTAGAGGTGTGTTAGGCAATTATTCAGTTTCTTTGTCTCTCAGAAATTCCAGATGTAAAAACACAGGGTTGAAGGCCAGGTGTGCATTAAATAGATGTGAAATGCAGATCTTCATGTGGTTCTGTGTGTGGGGTTTCACAGGTCACACAGAACTCAGCAATAAACACAGCAATAAACTTCTGTGACACTAGTTGTGATGTAGACAGAAGCATGGCATTCACTCAGGCTTATGGCCATGTCTTTGCCAGAAAGGAAAGTAAGAACTGTGTTTATGCCCTGAGATGATTCCCAACAAGCAGAAGTTTCATTATGTGGAGGTCAAAAAAGGTAAAAAAGTTAGAAGAACTGAATGAAGACACAGGTTCTTCTTTATTCATGGTAGTAATTTCTGTTCTTAAAGAAAGTTGTGCTTGTAAGTTGTTGTGTTCCCTCACAAAAGAAATTACTCAGAGCAGTTAGGAAAATATGCTGGTATTTAGAAAATCTGAGCTGTAGCTCCATGTATAAATAACAGGCATTATGTGGTTTTACTGAGGAGAGATTAAACCTGTTATAAACAAAGATCTAACCGTAGTAAGACTTCGTAGAACTGCAGAGTCATGTTTGGTACAAGAAAACAAGCTATTTGTCTTCATGGTAACTGTCTCACAGGGTACAGTTTAATAACCTGAGTGACAAATCAGAGGTCGATGGGTTTTGTCTCCACTGCCTTTCCTGGAAACTTCTTTGAAGGATATTATTGTAGCACTAATTCACCTCCTTAAGGAGACAGAACAAGCAGAGTGGGAAAAGAGAGGAGAGAACATTGTGTGTAAAGGCTGCGAGGTAGCAGCATATGTACAAATCATACCCTGAAAGTGAGGTTTATTTGACGAGTGGATCTTAGGGAACACCTTGAGTAGGTCCAAAGTACAAGTTAGTCATATGTTTCCACACACTTACATAATCACAAAGTTAGCTAATTATGCCACAAGTCAAAAGTACAATTCAGGTCAAGCAGCTCCTAGCACAGATAGGCACTTTTAAAATTGCTTGATGTAATCTCATGCATAAATCTTCCTGAAAAACACCACTGAAAAGAATTGAGATTAGAGTGAGGATGCAAGGCTAAACACTTGAAAATGACATCAGAAATGCTCAGGTAATACAAGGTAGTTCAGATCCTCATTTCAGTCATTTCACGCAGGTGTTGTCTCAGGCAATTACAAAATTTGTAAGAAGGTGAAATAATCAAGTCCTGCTCTAATCTTAATCCAACACACCTGTACAGGTGCCCATCACACACAGTGCAGAGTCTTTGACAGACATTTGAGGTGGTGCTGAACTGCTCTGACAGCCCCTGAAAGCCAGCACACGCTGGGGCTTCAGCTGCTGCTCCCCTGCAGGACCTGCCCCTGGCAAAGGGACACAAAACTGCTCCTGCCACAGAAACTGCTCCTGCCACAGGGACACAGAACTGCCCCTGACAAAATGACGCAGAACTGCCCCTAACAGAGTGACACAGAACCATCCTGACAGAGGGACAGGAACTGCCCCTGACAAAATGACACAGAACGTCCCCTGACACAGAACTGCCCCTGACACAGGAACACAGAACTGCCCCTGACAGAGGAATTGCCTCTGACAAAATGACACAGAACTGCCCTGACACAGGGACACAGAACTTCCCCTGACACAGGGACACAGAACTGCCCCTGACACAGGAACTGCCCCTGACAGAGGGACACAGGAACTGCCCTTGCCACAGGGATGTGGGGATGCACTGAGGGCTGACAGCAGCAGCTCCTGGGAGAACAGAGAAAATGTTCAGCTTCTTATTGCTTCCCTTGCAAACCACAAGGCTCTTCTGTGCCTTTCTGTTTGTCTTCTTTTTGCTGAGTCTGAACAAGCTGCTCTCTTTACCGGGTGTGCTTTCTTCTGAAAGCATTCATTGATGCATTGCTGCTCTGTTTCAGATACTTGTGAAGACAAAGATGCAGTTTCAACTGAGCATACCCACGTACAGAGCACTGAGCTTGTCCTGCCTCCTCATGCAAACCATCATGGAAACACTTTTGGTGGCCAGATCATGCCTTGGATGCAGACAGTGGCAAGCATTTCAGCAAGGTACTTTCCTACAGTATTGTCTCGGCATGTGGTTCTAAGTGGATGTGCTTTTAATGTTAAAGGTTTCAAAGGGATTTATTTTATGAAGAATACAGACCCAGGCCTTTGTGACTTGTCTTCCTCCTCACATTACAGGAGGCCTTTGAACTATTTAAGTGGTACATCTCCCACAGCATGCCATGCCGCTGAGACTCAGACATTATTCCGTTACACATACAGAGCCTAAGGCAAAAGAGGCTGTGTTACCTTCCTGGGAATCTTTGCAGAAAACTAACATTGGATACAGGAACAGAAACCTGCTCTCCTTGTGCTTGGTGCAGTGTTTTAGAAACAAAGTTAGTTGTTTAACCAGGATCAGACCAATACTCACCCTGTATCAAGTGACATCCAAAAAGGAACAGCCTGCTAGAACTTAAGTCTGCAGATCCTCGTGATGCCAGAAGAAAAATAAATCAGAGAAAAAGGATCCACATAAACAGCCCCTGTTTTTTGGTGTGTGCACAGAATGGATGCATAACCCTCAGCAAGTCACTTGACCTTTCAGTCCCTCTGAGTTGCACATCCTATGGCTTGCAACAATTTTAGCAGTTTAAAGAGCTCGGGCATCTTCAGGTAAAGAGAACAAAATATGTTTTGTGACGCTGCCTGCCAGTGTGACCCAGGCACTTAATCACTTATTTCCTCTTCCCTGGAGTCAAACCGTTGTTTATCTCCCTTCCTGTTCCTGGACACCGCACAAAGCTTCTTTGTAAGCAGCACTCAAGTTTCAGTCTAAATTCTCCTTGCATACCGAGCGACCTAATTCACTGCAGGGACATTAGATATGTTTTCTCTTTTTATCTTTAATAATTAAATGACTTCTCCATTCATTATTCATATGGTTTTGATTTGTAGACAGTGGTTGTACTGATAACAACAGATTTTCTGTAGTGGTTGGATAAACAACTTGTTTTAGTAACAACAGAGTGCACTGACCTTACCCCCATGTGCAATTCCAGTGGCTTGAAGGGACTGTTGCAGATTTTTGCCATAATATGACTCAGAATATTTACCTGTCTTCAGCTGATAAATTTTACCTTGTGGGAGTCACATATTGATTTTAAAAAGGAAGGGAGACATCAGCAAACAGAGTACTGGACAAATTTTCTTCAAACTAATTAATGTCAAACATGATTACTCATGTTGAGAATTTCAGGAATAAAAGCTGGTCTCAGAGGCTGGTTGAAAGCAGAGATGTTGTCGTTTTTGCTTGAGAAGTAACTACTCTCACTATGAACCTTTTGTGAGGCCAGAGTTAGACCCCACCTCTAAGAGTTTCTATGGCCACAGACTGTGATAGAGGAGCAGGAGAGGAGGGATAAGCCTGAAAAAATAAATTTCTAAGGGCATTTTAAATGTTACTCACTCTCATTCTCACTTCCCCACCACCTTTTTTTGGTCAATACATAAAAATCCTGCAGATAGCAGTAAAACCATTTGAATATCAGTAATATTAGCTTGAACTTGATGGATACTTTCTTATTCCTTACATTTGCAATAAAAGCATTCATGGTGTACTTTTCCAGGAAAGAAATGAATATTTAAGCCTGATTTCTGGTTTGTTCCTCTCCTCATCATTATTGTGTTGGCATCTTTAGAGTGAACATTGTAAATAAAATCAACGCTTAGCATTTTAAATCAGAGGAGCAGCAAATTATTTTAATTTAATTACAAAGTAATTCAAATGTATTAGACTGTTGAAGAGATGTACCAGTCAGTTAATTAGCTGCAGATAATTGTGTGCATTTAAAAATACCGGTACATTAGTTTTCAAAGTGCAGTTGAGTTAAAAGCCTGAAGTGCTACAAAGCTGTATTTTCAAATTTAGAAAACTTCACCATGGAACAATCTATCCTAGATATGCACATGGGCTCCTTACTGAGAGCAGTGTGTTGCTAAAAATAAATGTCATATATTGTGTATTGTCCCCTCTTCCTGTGATGCACAGACATCCCAGTAGAAAGTGAGGGGCTTTGAATACATGCAGAACTGATGAAGAAACCTGATTTTTGCCTGCTCCAGAGAGCTTGGAAACAATATTCTTTTCACTCAGACTGCATCTGGTAGCCATGTGAGGGTTTTTTAATTCTCATACTAGCAGAAACCATCTAAACCAAGCAAAAAGTACAAATATTAAGACTAGAGGCCTTGACATGGCATTGATTGGACACTGTCCCTGGTGCTCAGCCTTTCTGCTCAGGTTTCCTTTAATTGTTTAAAGGCCTTAAGGTCTGGTATTTTTTTCGCTGCTCAGGAGCCTGCTCCCCGTGCAGTCCTACAGAAATAAATGAAACTGTGAGGTAAGTGGTTACTCTGTAGGTAAGGGATTCATGGTCTGGCTTTGAGAGAGGGCAGTCTCAAGCAGTGAGAATTAATTGGTGTTTGTAAAACGTGCTGGAAATGAAACAGCATGACATAAGTGGTGTTATGATGGTTGAAGCTCGAGTTACATGCTCTTGGAGCTGACCATGTTGCATGGAGTAGATCGGTGTAATTTAGTGACCTTCCAGGTCCTGCAAACCCTGTTTCTGTGGTCAGTCACGGCGGCTGTGCTTGTAGCACAACTGTGTGTTTTGGTCTGTCTCTCTGAGTGTTTTGCGGAGAAAAGAAGAAACCTCACAACTTTATAAAAGTTGTAAAGCTCGGTATGTTTATTACGGCGCCGGACACATGCGGAGAATACTCTCCTCAAAAGGCATGCGTACCTCTGAGGATTCCAGGTCTCCTTTTATCTCCCCTTCCAAATACATATGCATACAGTTTCACAATAGGTTCATACATCTTCATTCCGCATGACATTTATCGCCAGTTCCTCTTTATCAAAAGAATTTGTAGGTCAGGGCCGATCGACCTTGTGGTCGTTTTGGTTTTTTTCTCTCTGTCTCCTCACTATCTCTGACCTGCAGTTTTTCCCTTCTGCTTTGGCCTCACAGACTTTTCACCTCTCCTAGACATTTTACCTAATTCAAAATGGATTTTTGCTCTGTCTCATTCCCCCCTTTCCTAGGAAATAAGTCAATTCTTTTACTTAATGCAAACCCTTATGACAATAAGTGTCTCTTAATGCTTTACCATGTACATTTTACAAAGAGGTCAATACAGCTATTCATTGTAGTATTCTCCAGTTCCAAATTAACAATATAATAGATGATCCCAAGCTTATCCCAACTAATATTAACAAAACTACAGTGGGATGACACAACTTATTAAAGATTCCATTTGCAGTCGGTGACCACCCAAAGATCACATCCCAACAGTGATGATCCACATTTTGTTTTATTCTTTGTAGAACTCTGGTTATTTCTTTTGTATCATGTTGGACACTAATTAAGGTTTTCTTTCCACTTGCTTGGATTTCCTTCAAGATCTCCAGTAGGTCTTGGTGCTTAATTAATTGTTTTACTAATGTACGGTTCATCCCAATAGGGGTAGATGATAGTCTGCGATACATTGTGTAATTGGTTTTGATCAGCTGGTGGGATGTCACTGGTACCGAATACGAAAAATCACACCCGATAACCTTAACAAAATTACAAATACAGAAATTAGAATGATTTCTACTAGACAGAATAACATCATTGCTATCAATTTTTACAGCACCACAAGCAGTTCTCAGGCATACACACCCTTTTCCAGTATATACGAGCACAGTTTTCTGGTCAGTGACTGGATGAATTTCAAAGTGGCAAATACTCTGTTCAGTGTCTAGATACACATCTTGGGCATTAATAGTATTGCTTTCACAAATGAATCCCATCTGTTCTCTAGTAATGCAGGATTCTAAGTTTACTGTTTGCCACTTTTCATTCATCTTTCGTGCCCACACTCTATGTTCTGAAGGGTAGAGTATTGTTTTTTCATGGTTTAGTCCTAGGGCAATGATGGGATGGATAACATAAACAGTGGCATTACATATGGTTATCACAAAGGCAGTGGCCACATTAGAAGCAGGATCATAGGTGAAATTCACCATCGTCCACCAGGATTGAAACTTCCTTTCAAAATCAGTTGCATTATCCCACACAATTTTCCGAATTTAAGATGGAAAATTACCTTCACTCCCTTCCCGTATGATCAGAGCTGCTGTTGCCTGCATCCATAACTGTGCTTGTATACAACTGAAAGCTAAAGACACATTATCTTGAACTGTACTAAGTGCTTCTACTATTAACTTGTGGTCTTGATCCCTGGCCGTTTCCCTCTTTGGCAGTACTTTTGAAATCTGCCACTGGCTAGTTCCTGATGCCAATAGAGATGACTGTAAAGGCTGCTTCAATTTTGTTAGGCTTCCTGCTGCAGTGGCCAGTTTATTCATCAGTATTTCTGAATCAATTCCATTTAAAACTCCTAATCCTGTCCCTAATATGCCAGTTAGATCCTTTCTTATTCTGCTCCTGAGATATGCCTGTCTTTGTAACCATGTTGTCCAGCCCTCAAAGGATGTTTTTAGGAAGGAGGAGCAGGCTGGTTGGATTTTTGAGATGTTAATTTGCATTATCAACTCCACACGTTTGAGAGACCATTCTGGATTGAATAATAGTTGTTGTTCACCTACATTCCTCGCTACGTAGGGGCCTATTTCATACACCTCAGGTTCAAGTTTGGGTAGAGTCTGAACTAACTATTTGAGTCTTAGTATGGGTTGCATAAGGTCCTGCTGTGGTAAAGAGTGCAGTGTATACTTTGAACTTAAATGAAAGTCCAATAGCATCCTGAGCCCAAAGGCAAGTCACTTCTACAGGCCGTATTAAAGTGAAATTACACCAACAGTCTGATTCACTTAGGCTATCACAAACTTCCTGGTGTTTGTATACACCAGGAGAGGTTGCAACACTAATTTCGTTTGGTCTCTCATTAGCCGACCCATTTATCATCCGGCACCCTACCTCTACCTTGATTTCTTCTCCTCTGATCCCTTGAAGCGTCCACAGTTCCTGTTCCTGCCATTCCTGCTCCTCATATACCTGATCCCCGTGAATTACTACAGTGGATAGGTTTAAATCTTTTATCTCAGAAGGTTTTCCCATGGATCCAGTATACTGATTAAACGCTTGGGACCAAGGCCATTCAGCATTGCTTTGGATAGAGGTACTCTCTAGTTCTAAAACTTCAGTTATAACTACATACAAAACAATTCTGTAAACTAAAGTATGAACTACTCCCAACCGCAATATACTCATTTTGCCCGAATAAGTTTTAGTCTCAGTTCATTCTCTTCTGGTATCACTCTCCAAGGGACTTCTAGGGCTTTCTTCACTCCAGAGTGATGGATCCAGGCATTCTGCTCCTTGATTTTGATTGCAGTGAAGGTGGTGAGAAGTACTTGCAGTGGTCTCTCCCACTGTGGTTCGGAAGTCTTCTCTATAAGAGACTTAACATATACATCATCCCCAGGCTATCTAACTCCCTGCTCCGAGTTCCAGCCACATGTTTCTCAATTTCTCTGAGCTGTTTGCTTAAAGCCACCATGTAGGTGGA